CTGCAACAGATCTAAAACCCTTTCTACGAAAGAAACTGCGAAACCACTGGCAAAGCTTGTGGGACACAGAAATAAATAATAAGCTTCATTTGATTAAGCCGCGGTTGGGTTACTGGTCCTCCGCTACAAGAACACGGCGAACTGATGTCCTATTCTGTCGCCTCAGAATAGGACACACTTATGGTACTCATAACTTTCTTCTGACTGGCGATGAGCCTCCTACTTGTGGTAGATGTGGTGAGAGGCGAACCGTCCTCCACGTCCTCCTGGAGTGTCCGGAAGCTGAAAGTGAGAGAAGAAAACATTTTGCTTTAGCATACCGCTATAATCTTCCTTTACATCCTATTATGTTCCTCGGCGAAGAGCCGCTTTTCGATGCAAAATCTGTTTTAAGCTTTTTAAAGGATGTAGTTTTGAATGTTTTTAGCCCAACATTGAATGTTTTTAGCCAAACAGGTTCATAGCGCATCCTCTGTTCAGAGGATACCGCTGTGATAGCAGCCTTTAATGAGCCCAGGCCTCCACGCTCTTGTTTTAAGGGTTCTGTCGAGGCACTGGTGCTCCATCCCAAGTTTTATTTCACATACATATCACTTTTAAACCATTTTATGTCTCCATAGCACACATCATTTGTCATTGCCATAATCTTACTATATATATATTTTTACGCACCTACAGCGACTGTTTTTTAGGCCCATTTACAGCCACATCATATCTGTTTTATCTACACTGCACATCGTACAATTCATTATCATCGTTCTGGCGCTCTTTGGCCACACCTGGCCCTTGCGCCAATAAACTCCACTAATCAATCAAACACTGGCGCTAACTTCCTTCTCCTGATCTCCTATCTCTGCTGCTCGATTAAATACCTTCCACGCAAGATTCCAGAAAGTTCTCATCATTTCGTCGGTGCGATACGCAGCGAAGGCTGGGGAAAGCGCGAGACGGTAGGAGGACCGTTCGCGTAAGATGACGCAACCCTGCATCACCACGCCCCTTTCCATCGAGAACTTTCTAGGACTTGTTCGGCAGCCGATGTGAGGAGGTTCATCGGCGAACCTACGCTTCCGAGGGGAGAGGAACACGCGCCCGGGGAGTCTTTGGATGTTTGTTTTCTCTTTTTATTGTTGACCTCGAGGCATCTCTGCGGCGCTTCGTCGCAAGAATTTGGCGGCGCGCCGTTTTTGAGCGCTCCTTTTGTGACAACCACATTCATACTATCAATCAGGTAAAACAGAAATGCTCGTAATACAGCCAACCACTATACATAGCCTTCATAGATTACGAGAAAGTGTTGGATTGAGTATAAGTATCAGCAGTCATACGGTGTTCCTCACTACACCGAAACTCGGTGTAGTGAGTAAACACTACACCGAGTTTCGCTTCAAACCATTTTTTCAGCACCCGCGTCGACACCCGTTTTAACCGGGTCAACGCCGTGTGCACCACTGCTGCTTCGCATCACATCAGGGTTCCCTTGAGGGAGGTAGTCCACAGTTTTGTTTGTTTAAACAGCACGTTAAGCGTCGAGCTGTAAACGTTGTTAGTTAGCCTTCGTCATTTGTGTGTTCTTTTCGTGTGCCATTTCTGCGTGAGTAGTGCGCTGAACGTTATGATCTGCCAGCCATTCTCAGCATTACGTTCCGAGTTGTTGCTATCGCATTCATTGCTTCGCCCTTGCGGCGCAACTGACGTTTTTCTATTTATCTACAACTTTCTGAACATAAATAACGGTTGAGTACATTGTTTAGCAAGTAAGTTAATTTTCTGCTATTCAGCAAATAGGCAGAACAAAAAGTGTATGATATACTCCATGCACTAGCTAGCAACATGCGTTGAAGCTCGTTGTCATAGAGTGCGACGGTGTAATGTCAAACTGCAGTAGAGTTACCTAAAACGTCCTGGGATGCTTTCTATACGGAAGAGGATGGATGGAAGGATGAAAAACTTTTATTGGGTCCTGAAAGATTCCACCCCCGTTTTATAGGGGTAGGATCGCGGGCCGCTCCCACGTTGGGACGGGGAGGCCCATCATCACCACCGCATCATGGGCCTTCTGGACAGCGTTGAGCTGTTGTATGAAAACCGGACTCGTGAGCATTAAATGAAAGGAGTTCTCGGAAAATTCTTCCATTTTTTTCTTTGTAAAGAGGGGCATCTCCAGAGCATGTGGTTAAAATCACTGCGATTCTGGCAGTCCGGACAAAGTTTGAAAATATCGGTGTAATGGCTATAGGTTACGAGGCTAGGGTATGTTCCCGTCTGAAGCATGCGAAGAGAGATTGCCTGTGGCCTAGATAACTTTTCGTGTTGTCTTCGCTGCGTACTTTTCGCGGTAGTAGCTTTGCAGTCCAATTGATAATGCTTCGTGATCTCGTTGAAGGTGGTCAAAATGTCCCTAAAATGTAGGCTGGTGGCTGACTCCTCTGTCTGAGAAGCACAAGTACCGGCGCGGTAAGTGAAACCTCGCGCCTTGGAGGGGGCTAGCTCGTTGACATTGGGAAGGCCTCCAACCCTCAAGCCAAGGTAAGCAGAGAACCAAATAATTGTGTGGTGGGTGAGTTCCTTGTGAGCGAGAATTCTCAAAACTTCCTTGCATACGGAACCAGAAGCGAAGACCCTAGCAGCGGATTTAGAGTCCGTATAAATATCAGTCCATTGTGGATCAAGGAGTGCAATGGCCATCTGTTCTGCTTTGTAAGAAGAAGTGGTTCGAAGCGACACCGAGGATAAAATCTGACCCTTAGTATCTACGGATACTACCGCGAAGCGAGCGGAAACGCCATACTGGGTGGCATCAACAAAGCGTGAAACAGACGAGTGTTTGTGAGCTTGAGCTAAAAGAGAGGAGGCTCGAGCGACACGCCTGCCCGCGTTGTACTGTGGATGCATATTTCGTGGAAGGGGGCATACTTTGATGCGAGAGCGTATATAATCATCGAGTGGCGTATTTTGCACTTCGAGCGTCAGGGGGTTGACTCCAGTGTCAACCAGAATTTTTCTCCCCACTGGTGTGATCGAAAGCCTCGCAACCTGTGCCGTTTTTTTTGAGCCTCGATAACTTCAAGTGTGTTGTGGACTCCAAGTTTCATAAGGTTCTCAGTGCTTGTGCGCATAGGAATGCCAAGAACTTTCTTGATGCTTTTTCTTATAAGGATGTTCAATTTATTTCTTTCATGGAGTTGCTACCTGTGCATAGATGCGACATAGCTCATGTGGCTCATCAAGAATGCATGGAATAGTCTGAGGAGGTTGTGCTCTCGAAGACCACCCCGACTGTTCGAAATGCGTGAGATTAGTCGGATGACCCCTTCCACCTTAGAAGTCAGATGGTCGATCGTGCGGCCGTTCTGCCCATTAGCCTCGATAATCATGCCCAGAACGCCTATGAAGTCCACCCTTGGAATACGCTGCCCCTATGCCATGTGCAGCCAAATGTCGATGTCAGCCAGTGGTTGCCAGTTTTTGGGTTTGGGTCCCCGTCTCGTGGGCCGATATAAGAGAAGTTCGGACTTTGCTGGCGAGAGCTTGAGGGCCATTTCATTCTTTTAGACTTCAACACAATCTACGGCCTCTTGAAGAGACCTCTCCACAGAGCCCTCTGAGCCACCGACACTCCATATGGTGATGTCGTCCGCGTAGATGGCGAACTTGATGCTTTCTTGGTTTGAGAGCTTTGCAGCAAGGCCGCACATTGCAATGTTAAAAAGCAGTGGGGAGACGACTGAGCCCTGCGGGGTGCCGAAGGAACCGAGATCGTAGGGCTCAGACTTGAGATCCTCAAGCTGTATAGTGGCTTTTCTATTCCTGAGGAACGAGCTGGTGAACTTGTGAAAGTAGGCTCCTAAGTTGAGAGATGAGATGGAGGCAAGCATGTGAGAGTGCGAGACATTGTCAAAGGCATTTTTAAGACCTAGACCGAGAATAGCTCTAACGTCTTTTGTCTCCTGATCGATGATGTGATGCTTCAGCATTTTCATGACGTCCTGAGTAGATAGGTGTGGTCTAAAACCTACCATGTTGTACAAAAACAGGTTAGTCTTCTCTATGTGCTTTGATATTCGATCGTTGATGACATGCTCGGCGACCTTGCCTATACAGGACGTCCGTGAAATGGGTCGTAAGTTGTTAAAACTGGGACTCCGGCCAGATTTAGGTATGAGAATAACCGACGCCCTTTTCCATTGCTCAGGGAAAGTCCCCGTTTCCCAAATACGATTGATTTCTTTGGTGAGGTAGGTGACAGAGTCATCGTCTAAATTGCGTAGTGTCTTGTTTGTAATGCCATCCGGCCCGGGCTGGAGTTCCCATTAAGATTATTTAGGATGGTGCGGACCTCTGCTTACTGGAAAGGCTTGTCCAATTCAAAGGCTGGTGATCCCGTGTATTGCGCGTACCCAGAAGGAGGCCGGGTTGTGTCCAAAGGGAGGTATCTCTGTGCCAGACACTTCGTTATTTCCGTGTCCGATTTAACCTTCCTTTCTGAGTGCAGTATTCGGTCTACCAAGCGCGCCTGGTGGGATTTAGATTTTGTCTCCTGCAGCAGGTGTTTGAGAAGGTTCCATTTTCCCCCAACTTTCATCTGACCATCCACCTTGTTGCAAATCTCGTCCCTATGCCGTTTTTCCAGCGTCTGACAGGAAGTCGTTATTTCTTGGTTAAGACTTGCGATGCGTTTTCGCAGTCTTCAACGATTCATACGGTGTGCTTTCCACCTGGCTAGGAGGGCGCTTTTAGCCTCAAGAAGACGAGCAAGCCTACTATCCATTTTATTGACCGGAAGATCAGTCTCTATCGTTTTGGTGGCCGACTTGACGTCTTCGTCCAGCTGAGACAGCCATTTGTCGAAATTCAGTGAGTCATTATTCTCTTCTGCGCTCTTCACTCTGATCTTACGGAAGAGGTCCCAATCTCTGTGGGCTTGCACAGTCACCGGCTGTGGGCTCGGTGACTGTGCAACAGCGCAGTTCACTAATCCGTTTGCCTTTGCCATGCAGACCTACGCCCTCATCGCCGCAGTCATGCTTTCTGGACCTGTGCTGCCCCAATCTGCAGCCTCGCTGATCCTAGCGACTCACAGTTGCGGGACCGGCGCAGGCAACTGGACACGCCACTTCGTTCACGCTTCAGCGTGCATGGAAGCGCCACCCCTCAACCTTTCCTGTCTTCCCAAATACCTGGTTTCATCGCGGAAAACAGCATCGACACCGACATCAGCCACTACCTCGCCTATAAAAGACCAACACCGCCCGCCTGCGCTCTGTGGGTTTGGTGACTGTGCAACAGCGCAGTTCACTAATCCGTTTGCCTTTGCCATGCAGACCTACGCCCTCATCGCCGCAGTCATGCTTTCTGGACCTGTGCTGCCCCAATCTGCAGCCTCGCTGATCCTAGCGACTCACAGTTGCGGGACCGGCGCAGGCAACTGGACACGCCACTTCGTTCACGCTTCAGCGTGCATGGAAGCGCCTCCCCTCAACCTTTCCTGTCCTCCCAAATACCTGGTTTCATCGCGGAAAACAGCATCGCCACCGGCATCAGCCACTACCTCGCCTATAAAAGACCAACACCGTCCGCCTGCGCTCTGTGGGCTCGGTGACTGTGCAACAGCGCAGTTCACTAATCCGTTTACCTTTGCCATGCTAGTCAGTAATTCACACAGTCTATTCGCTAAAAAATCTAGTAATTACTTTTTGGTACAGCCTCCGAGCCCACAGTGTTGCATTGCCATTGCCGCTGAATGCGCGAGTGTCATTTATTCCTTGTTGCTGCAAGCCGGTGACGTTGAAACAAACCCCGGACCTAGTACCATTCAAGAAGTTGCCACCGAATTAAAAAAATTATCCGCTGGTCAATCCACCGTTCTTACCGAACTAAAAGAGTTGAAGAATCAGTTGCAATCAACTGATAAAGTAATAACAGACTCAGGTAAACGAATAACAGATCTTGAGAATCACTTCAAGTCCCTTTCATCTCTTAAAGTTGAAATGGACAGCCTAAAGGCTACCACACTTCAGATGTCCCACCAGATAGAGAGCTTATCAGCCCGAGTGGACGACTCTGAAAATCGATCCCGTAGAAACAGCTTAATATTCCATGGCATTCCCGACACTAACCCTTCCGAACATTTCACTGAACCGGAAAAATTAGTCATTGCTCTTTGTGCTGATCACATGGAACTGAATATTGAATCAAAAGATATAGACAGAGCACATCGTCTTGGCCGTCACGCTGCGGGCGAAGTAAGGCCGATAATTGTAAAATTCAATACTTTTAAAACAAAGGACAAGATTCTTTCAAACGGCTTCAAACTTAAAAACACCGGTTACAGCGTTGGCGAAGACTTTTCCGCAACAGTTCGAACTGCTCGCAGGCATCTTATCGCTTTCGCTAGGTCCCAGTCATGTCCATTTATGTTGACCTTCAAAACACTACGCATGGGCAAGAAACGCTACATATTTGAGGAATCGTCACAAACCGTTAAAGAATTACTATAGCTAGTTCCTCGCAATTCAAACGCGCGTCATGGCCCCAGATCCACCCCCGCCCACTACTTTCGCTATCAGCTATTTTTACTAATATACGCAGTTTTCTTCCAAAGCGAGACGTCATTTCTAATCTTGTTTCCTCGTCGAGCAGCAACATACTAGTTTTATCAGAAACATGGCTATACAGTGACGTTAGCGACCATGAAGTTCTTACAGACCTTCCAAATTTTACAGTGTTTCGCAAGGACCGTATAGACAGGCGAGGTGGGGGCGTGGCTATTGCAATCAGCAAAGATATTTCTTGTAATGCGCTTAACATTCAGACTGACCTCGAAATTATATGGCTTCTTTGCCATGCCACTCCTGAAACTGTTTTAATTGGTGCCTGTTATAGACCTCCCCACAGCACTCCCGACTTTGCTAGTAAGCTTAACGACACGTTAAATGATTTGACTACTGCATACCCTAACGCCCGCATTCTTCTTTTTGGGGATTTCAATCATCCTCTCATTGACTGGGTAAACCAAGTTCCTTTGACGTCAGGAGAACCCGAAGCGCACGACTTTCTTGATGTGTGCCTCAACTTTAACTTAACCCAACTTCTAACTGAACCAACTCGCGTAACTCAAACGTGCGCCAATATCCTTGACCTAATACTAACAAATCACCCTGACAGCCTTTTGTCCATTACATATCTTCCAGAAATTAGCGATCACAAGGTAATTCATGCCGAGTTTACGTTCAAACCGGTGTCTCGTCAGAAAAGTAAAAAAACTATACGTCTTTATGACAAAGGAAATTACACAGCTATCATTGATGAACTCCGCTCTTTCTTTCCATCTTTCGAATCATTTTTCCAAAATAGATCAGTGCAAGATAGCTGGAAATTATTTGCGGACAAAGTGGATGAGAAAACATATACCCACATTCGATTTCCAGGCCGCACTCAAAAGCCCTGGTTCACCAAAACATTAAAACGCCTAGAAAACAAAAAGAAACACCTCTTTCGTTCAGCCAAACAGAAGGGAAGCCAATGCGCATGGGAAAAATACTATGTAGCCGAACATGACTACCTAGGAAAGATATGCGAAGCAAAACACTCTTTTTATAACTATAACTTGCCGACCATTCTCAAAAGTGATCCACGCAAGTTTTTTGAAATAATCAACCCTCACCCCACGCTTCACTTCACCTACGATGCCGGCAGACCTGTAAGTGACGTTGATTGTGCAAACATCTTTAATGGCGCATTTGGATCAGTGTTCACAAAAGAAACAGACATTTCATTTTACATGCCTACTTCCACTATCGAACTCTTGATGCCACCCATCACATTTTCCGTGTCTGGTATAATATCTATAATTAACAACCTAAAGCTGTCGTCCTCCGCGGGTGTAGACAATATTAACTCCAAGTTCCTCAAAAACACTGTAGATGTCTGTGCCGAATATTTATCTTTATTGTTTTCGCAGTCACTTGTCACAGGCCAACTGCCCGACGATTGGAAAAAAGGGAAGGTCATTCCAGTCTTCAAAGCTGGTAACAAAAATTCGCCTCTAAATTATCGTCCTATCTCGTTAACTTCAGTGCCTTGCAAAATCATGGAACACGTCATATTCACTCACATTATCAGTTTTCTTGACAAGGTTAATTTTTTTCATCCTGCACAACATGGCTTCCGAAAAGGGTTTTCATGCGAAACTCAACTAGCACTTTTTGTTCATGACCTTCGATAATAACATCTCGATAATAACATTCAAACCGACGCCATATTTCTAGATTTCACCAAAGCATTTGATAAGGTACCTCACAAACGCCTGTTACTGAAACTCTCCCACTTAAACTTACATCCCGCTGTCTTAATCTGGATCCAAGAATTCTTACATAACCGTTCCCAATCTGTCCTTGTAAATGATCAGCTCTCCAACTTTATTCCAGTTACATCAGGTGTCCCTCAGGGTTCCGTACTTGGCCCCTTGTTATTTCTAATATATATTATTGACCTACCAACGAACTTAACTTGTAACATACGCATGTTTGCTGATGACTGCGTTTTGTACCACACAGTAACGAATGTATCTGATCAAATTAGCCTCCAAAGTGACATTAACCAAGTGCAGCGTTGGTGTGAACGGTGGCAAATGGAACTTAATCCTAACAAATGTAAACTTGTGTCGTTTCAGCGTCGCCATAACCCGCTCACCACTTCCTACGTAATCTCTAACACTCCTGTTCAACTTGTGCAATCCTACAAATACCTTGGCCTAACTTTGTGCAGTGACCTAACTTGGGCTGAGCACATCCGGACTATCATCGCAGCTGCTAATCGTACTCTCGGCTTCCTAAAACGTCATCTGCGCAACACACCCCGCCATGTAAAATTATTAGCATATCAGTCCCTCGTAAGAAGCAAGCTTGAATATGCATCGTCAATTTGGAGCCCACAACACGCGTATCTCATTGCTGGACTCGAATCACTTCAAAACCGTGCTACTAGATTCATTCATTCCTCATATGCCTATCACATTAGCGTGTCATCTTTAAAAGAAGAAATGGGCCGGTCCCCTCTATCTTCCCGCCGCCGCATTGCCACCCTTTGATTGTTTCATAAACTTTTTCACAGTCCACTTGCAATCGAACCTTACATTTCCCCCCCATTTCGCAGGTCATATCGCATTGGCCATGTCTTTCAAGTTGCCCGTCAACGTTCCCGCACCGTTACTTTTGCTGCCTCATTTTTTCTTCGTGCAGCAAAAGACTGGAATGACCTCCCCCACCATATTGCAGCAATCACCTGTCCATCAACATTTATGCATAGCGTTACAAGCCATTTTTCAAACTAAATCATGGCTTTTTTTGTACGTTTTTTTGTAACCCCACCCCTTATGTAATGTCCCCCTGGGGACCTTTAAGGTAATAAAATGAAATGAAATGAAATCTGTAAATTTGAAATCTTTAGGGGGCTTCGCTTGAATTTGTAATGTCGTACTCAAAATACAATGGTCACTCCCCAAGTTTTCTCCTAAGTTAAACCATGATACCTTCCCCGCGATTGTGACAAAGGTGAGGTCTGGGGTAGTATCCCCACAGCAAGAATTTCCAGTGCGGGTAGGAAACGTGGGGTCAGTGACCAAAGTAAGATCCAGATCCGATACCGCTTGCCAGAGCTCGGCTTCCTTGGCAGTGGTGCGAGGGTAGCCCCAAGCTTGATGGGGTGCGTTGAAATCTCCCGCTATAACAAAGGGTGCGTCCACTTTTCTAGCGATCGCAATGGCTTCTGATAACAATGAGGTGAAGCGATGGTGCCTGCCTTTTGGAGAGCTATATATGTGGAATATGAAAATGCTATTTTTAAGGTTGCTGCCAGGTATAATTTCTAAAAGAGGGTGTTCAATTTTGCTACTTGCCATGTGCAAATTGTGCTCAATGTAAGTGTACTTCTTGGACACAAACGTGCAGATACCGCGGCCATCTGGAGGTTTCGTGATGTAATGGGTGTAGCCTGGCAGGCTCATTGTTTCCGTAAGCGTCTCCTGTAGCATAATAACATGTGGTCGAATTGGCTGGGATTTAATATACTGCTGGAGAGCTGCCTTCTTTGATTAGAAGCCCCAGCAGTTCCACTGCCAAATACGAAATCGTTAAGGTGTCCCGCCATTGTTGGGACCCTCAAAAGCTCTCTCCTGAGAGACGCTACGGGTTGCCACCTTCTGCACGATTCTAACCTTAGGTATTATTTGGGCCGGAGTAGCATCGGCTGATTGTCAAGCTTTAACTTGGTCAGCCTCGATCTTTGTGACTCTGCTGTCCAATACCGCAATCGACTCGACCACCACCCTGAGACCATTTTTGATATCATTCAAGTTTTCCTTGACCTCTGTTTTGAAATCTCTGTCCTCGTTATTGGCCGGTTGTGCTAGCGCTCTCCTTTTTGTTGGTTTTGCCCCTGGATGGACGTCCATGAGTACCTCATCGCGACTCGCATCCGATGTGGCCTCTGTACAGGGAGCTGTGTTTGAAGGAGACGGAGACGAAACCTGCTGTGATTTCCTTAATTCGGCTATTTCATCCCTGAGTTGCTTGACAATGGCCCTGAGGTTAGCAGTTTCCCTTTGCATCTGCGCATATATATCTGAGTGTTGCTCTGGATTGGTACTCCCCTTTACCTGTGGTTGGGAGCCCTGGATCTTGGATGCCCAGGTCTGGTGCTGATTTTATTGCTGCACACCATTGTGGACGGTAGGCACCCGTGAGTTAGAACGGCCCTTGGATCTAGAATGTCCTCTGGATCTCGAACGGCCCCTTGCTCTGCCTCTGGAACGGGATCGCCCTCGCGGTGGTTGTAGCTGTTGGCTGACGTCACGCGGGCGCCAGCTGCTGCTCGGGCGCTCAGTCGTAACGCGGCCGCCTGCAGCGGCTGGTAGTGATATGAAGTCTCCTCCACTATCTGTGAAGTTCATGTCGTCGGCGTCTTGTTCCGCAAATTCCATCGTATATTGCATCCGTCGCTCTCGTCTTCGTCGACGGACTATGTAGGGCACTTGAAAACGATGCTTACACGTCTTGTCTGCCGTGAGATGTGGACCCCCACACAATTTGCATTCTGGAGTGCAGACGTGATCCTCCGAAGGAGATGACATCGCACACCCTCTACAGACGGCCTCCTCTGAATGGGGACAAACATCGGCTCGATGACCTAGCTTTCCACAGGCATAACAGACATCCGTCTGTCGATGATACAGGGTGCAGCGAACCAAACAATTTCCACATATGACGTAACTTGGCACTTTCAGTCCATCAAAGAGGATGATCACCGTGGTGGAATTCTCGATTCTTTTCACTACGAGTGCAGTCGGGTTCTTTGGGTGTACAATAAGTGAATAAAGTTGTTCTTGACCAATGTCCGCGTCAACACCTCTTCTGATACCTTTGCAGGTGTCATCGCGGGCAGCTCGGTAGGCACTAACATCAAAACTGGCGGTACCGAGAGTAATGGCGGTGATCTTGGGATACGCTCTGGCGTTCCTCTCCGTTGGAGTGCTTATAACTGCAATGTTCTGCATCATATTCGGGCATACCACGTCTTCCGTGACTTCTTCCTCACTGAGCGCTGCAGCCACTGCGAGTGCCTTCGCGAACTTAATTTGACTCACAGTTCTCATGTCCAGGCCATTTATAGGTCTCACGATGACTCGATGGTGATCTCTTGGAAGGTAAGGAAGTCTAGAAGCAGCGATAAGACGCTTCTTCACCGCATCCTGGGAGTGCTGAGGCGACCACGCGTCGCCGTGCATGGAAACGCTTGCTTGCGTCTCGGTCCTGGGGGTATGCGTCCCACAAAGTTTAAGTTTAGTGGTAGCCACAGACCATCCAGAATCTTGAAGATCATCGGGAGTGATATCCTCCCCATCGACAGGGACTTGCGTAGACATTCCGTGCGTAGAGTGCTGAAACACCCTTCCGAGAAGGGCCGGCGGCCGCTCCCCCGTAGCCTCAACCTAGCGTGCTCAGCTGAGCAGATGGGCGAACGGAAGAGCCTCGAAAAAGGGTCAAAAAGCTCACCCACAGTGAAATACTTGGTATCGATGTAGTTCGTGTGGTTTTATGCGTCGACTCAGGGGAAGATGTATCTTAACTTTATTTGCGTTCAGGATGCTTCACCAATTAGCCCTATCACGGCAACCTACTCGAGCTTGGCCTGTAAAAAATTGTGCCATATTATATTTGGCATCAATGGCTACATAATAAAGGTATAATAAAGAATACTTCGTATTCGTCTCACGTAAACAAAACTTAAAAGATATGAACTATTTTGTTAAAGCGCTTACCAAACGGCGCCTTGCAAGACCCCGGAAATAATGAAAATCGGCGGCGTTAGCATGTGAGGGGCCCTTTAAGACACTATCTTTAGGATGCTTCTTACTATACTCAAGGATGACTCTCTGTGCCAGTGAAGTGAAGGCTACGTGGGCGGAGCTACTGCTTCTGCACTCCTCCGCGAAGTCGCCCTGTTCGGCTCGCGTTTTGAATGGTGGCTGCGTTCATGTAATCCCACTGCACACAAATTGATACGCCTACTTACACAGCCATTCGTGAGAGAACTTCGACACAAGCTCCCTCGTAGAGTCGTCGGAATAGCTGGAGGGCGACGCGCACTCACCAAAAGGCGAAGACGCCATTTTGACTGTGAGGTGCTCGTAAAACGTAGGACGTTTTCAGATGCACCAAAACGCAAAGTGACTTTTCAGGAAGTAACAACAAATAATGGTATCTCCTCGGCGCGTGCAGAGTCCCCTTGTAAACAGAATCTAGAAGAAAATAAAGTTGACTTTTTATTACTTTCACGTGGAAAAGACAGAAGAATTCGTGGCGCTGTATTCTACAGCGGTGACACATGCCCACTTTGCCTCCGTAGCCTTCCCTTCAATGCGACGGAAACTTCCAGGTACCGTGGCGCCGCTGAGTGGTGGCGGCCGGAAGCTCTGTTGAGATGATTGAAGTTTTGAACCTGCTTCAAACCGCAGACGCTGCTGCTTGTTCTCACGCGTTTGTAGTCGTTTTTATACGTTGTGAACGACCTCAATATTACAGTAACCCTTTGAATAGCTCGAGTTAAAGAGAAAGCAGAAATTCAAAAAAAAACACTGTTTTCATAGCGAGCCTCGATCAATGTTCCGGGAGGAAAATTAAGCGTCCCGTTCAAATTACCGCCCTGATAATTCATCAGGTGTTAAAGGGTTAATTTAGCAGGCAAATAATTAAGGTTTCTGAATGTATGCCGCATCCATTTTATGCACGAGTACGGCAACTTCCAGGTTTGTAGTTCTTGCGCTTAGTTCGTCTGCATGATACGATACAATTTTGCGCATATTTATCTTCCCAATATCGTACCCGGCATTTATTTACTTAATATAGTACGTTAGCGCTCCCCCACGTTCCCAAAAGATGAATCAAGGGCCACCCAAGCGCGAAAAATTGCAGTCTTCGCCTAAAGTGTACTTTCCCGTATTGTCTCTTGCAGGGCCACCATCCCAACGACCACCATGTTTTATGTATAGTCGCGCCACCAATAGGTCGCGAAAGTGGCGAATAGTCATCCGTTCTCTGTAATGTGTTGTGCCATGTACGAATTCAGCGCTGTTCTGTCGTACCTCTCGTGACGTTGGTGCCCACCGATGACAACTAGCCGTTTAAATTTAGTGGAGGACGTCTTGCGGTGTAAAACATTAGCCCGTTAACCCAATTGCACAAAAAATGCATAGATTCACCACTGAAGCCTTTTTTATTCCTTGCAGTACGTCGAAGCAAGTGCGAAAGCTGAAGCAGAGGCCATGTACCGCGGCAAGGTGATCATGCTGTTCGTCGTCCCGACGATCACCGTCTTGCTCATCCTGATGGCGGTGCTCATCTACATCGTCACCATGGAAAAGCCCCGAATACGCGTGGATACGTGCCGGAGCGACGACTGTGCAGCCTTTGGTGAGGAGCTTTACGCTGCCATCAACTGGTCCATCGACCCATGCCAAGACTTCCACGCGTTCGTGTGCGGTGGTTGGGATGATCCTCGGCGCCAAACGACGACCGAATCACGAATGGTAGCCGCTGCATTAGACATTGCGATCGAGGAAGCCAAAGAAGACCTGGCGCAGCAAGGCAAAGCACCGCAGCAGCGCAGCAAGGCTACGCAGTTCTTCGAAAGCTGCCTCATTGCCAGCACGCAGAAGCAGCACAACCTAAAGAGTTCGCTGATCTCCGGCGCTCCCTGGGTCTCTTATGACCCGAGCATGATCCTAGACACGCAGCCCACCCTCTCGACAGTCATGGTAAACCTGGCGCTGAACTGGGAAATGAATTTCTTCTTCGATGTCAGTGCAGTTGCCAGTGCGCCAGTCCGTCGCCCTGCTTGTCTCCCGCGGTCGCCTAGATAACGTCTGGGAGGAGAAGCTGCGCGCTGTGAGGACGGTCGAAGCATATGAGAGCTACGTAAATAATTATTACGATGTTCTAAAGATCACCGGCTCGCAAGCTGGCGTGACCGCCGCAGAGCTGCTCGATATTGAGAACACCATACTCAAAGCTAAGTTTGAGTTCATGTACGGCTCTCCTCGCCAAGACTGGTTCCAAGTGAGCGCCCTAGATGGAAAGACGCCATCAGTTCCAGCAGGATTGTGGCTTACTCTTTTAAGGAAGCATGACAAGCAGTACAACTGGACCGGCGACGACACGGTGATTGTCGAGGATGTCAAGATACTGGAGAACCTCGACCACTTGCTGAGGGCCCTGGGTCATGACAAGCTGACCACCGGAATATCCTGGATGTTTATACAGACGCACCTCTGGGCTGTTTATGGGGCTCCTTCACTGCGATTCGGTGGCACAGAGAGAGAACTGGTAAAGATGCAAGAACGCGGCTGCGTAGAATACGTCGGATCTCGTCTGGGGCTGCTCGGCTGGGCAAAGATGCTTACCCACAGCTACCGCGACAAAGAGGGTGGACAGCACGTGACCAATTTCTTCCATCGAATCAAAGACCAAGCGAAGGGCCTCATTAGAAATCTCAGCTGGATGGATTCCAATAGCAAGGAAATGGTCTACGCTAAGTTGAACAGTATGTCTTACGTCGTACTTCCAAATGGAAGCTTCTTCAGCGCGAAAAAGAGGGAGGAACTGTACAGCGCATTTCCAGACATGGGCGGCAACACCTTCGTGACGAACCTGGTGAACGCGTCCAAAGTTTTCCAGCGGCTGCGCAATCAGAAACATTTCGCGGACGTGTACAACATTCGCATGGTTCCGCGCTATGGTCGGGAGCTTTACCTGTATTTACCGAACTCAATGGCAATCGCGTTAGTGACCCTCAGCCCGCCGATGTACTACGAGGACGCTACGCTGGCGATTAAATACGGCGCCATCGGTTCCTTTGCAGCTCGACAGATGGCTAGGGCGTTCGATGAAATAGGCGTCACGGTGGACGATACAGGGAAGCGCCAAGCCTGGCTTGGGGCCGAGGCGGCCGCAACATACGAGAGAAAGGCAAACTGTGATGTTCTCGCAGGCTCGGACAGCACCGCATGGCATCCGATGCGAGCGCTGCCTGTTATGCCAGGGCTAGAGATTGCTTTCGAGGCCTTCGTTTCGGCCGTGGCGGGGGACTATCGAGCCCTGATAGATTTCAAGGTTCTTCACTTGGAGATGTTCACCGACCTGCAGATTTTTTTCCTGGCATACTGCTACTCCATATGCTCTAAGAGGCCCCAAACCATGCGCGACGAATGCAACGTCCCGGCCATGAACTCACCCATATTTGCTGAAGTTTTTCACTGCCCCGTGAAATCGCCTATGAACCCACCAAACAAGTGCACATTTTTCGACAGGTGACAGCAGTGGAGCCCTAGCTTTTTGGCTGCCTGTGGCTTCATTGAGACTACTCGTTTTCCCATAGACCATAGGTGCCGATTATATGTGAGAGCTGACGCATCTATACTGATGCGTGTAATATATGACGCATGAACATCCAGTCCTTTGTTGCATAAAGTGCTTTCTTGTCATGCCAAAGTTATTAATGTATTTGTCTTCCTCAACCATTTGCACAATGTTAGTCTTTGTTAAATATTATTGATCTGTAGTTCACTGGGTACACACTGCATAGACGCAATTTTTTTAATAATCCCGAGTGGATTCAACGTTGACATTGTTTGCAACACAGTTTTATAGTCTCGCTCAAATTTATTAGTGCTTATAGGCCCACGACCTACTTGCGCTGGATACATTGTTAGTGTACTTTCATGATCAATATTCATCATCAGCCTTACTACGCGCACTGCAGGGCAGAGGCCTTCCCCGCAGGGGCGTCTGCTTACGCAGGCGATTGGTGTGTTTGGAGAGGCGTCTGCTTACGCAGGCGTTTGGTGTGTTTGGTGTGTAGCGACACCACGGACCCGAGCTAAAGGGGGGGGGGGGGGTTTGACTTTTTTCTACGCCTAGCCGTGCGTGGCTTTGCCGTGTCCGGGGAAAACGGGATCCTGGCGGTTGAACGGACGCCAGGTTATAGGACCTTTAAGGCCCCCCGGCAGATGCAACACACCCATTTGGCCCCGGCTTCACGTAGATGGCATCCCTGGGCTGACCCACCCAGGGGAAATTGGCAGTCGCCTTTTCCGATTTCTCTCTCCCTACATCTTTTTCTTTATCTCTCACTTTTTATCGGTCCTGTCTTCTACTTTCTTTTGTTTAATTCTAAACTTCCGGGCGGCTAGGGTTAACCATGTGCAAATAGGCTTCCTTGGTCTAGGCACATTGGTTTAGAGTAGCGATGTACGGCTGGTGTCTGCAGTTTTTAGCATCCGCAAACTTGTAGCGACCCCTCGTTGGGCCCTCGTTGGTGGCCGCCAACGCTTCTGAAGGAAATTGAACAAGCATGCATAGGGCTTTTCACCTGTTAAGTGATCGTACCACCTTAAAGCGCATACGCACCGAACACTTTGGCTTTTTCAAACAATCAAATGAAAACTTCCCCCATTTTCATGTTATACTTAGTGAAAAAAGTGGCAAGCAAGCCAGAACTGTATCTCCCTTTGTAGTAGCCAGGTGCCTTCTAGAAACTCTTGGGGTCGGGTACTAAGTTACCAAAATGGCCAGCGTCAGGTACTAAGTTACCAAAATGGCCAGCAGATATCTCCTCCTCGAAGTTTGAGACAAAGAACAGTTTGAGAAGCTACACAATCTTTCAGTTTTTGGTGACACTCCAATCACTGTAACACCACACAGATCAATGAACACAACCCGTGGAGTGGTGTCCGATGCTGATTTGCTTGGCCTGATTGCCGCGGAACTTCTGGAGGAGTGAAAGAGTCAGAATGTGACCAATGTAAAAATGATCATCATCAGAAGAGACAGCAAAGAAACACCAACAAAACACCTAATACTCCCATTCGCTTCGAGTAATCTGCCAGAAACTGTTCAAACTGGGTACACGAAGACTTAGATCAGGCCATACAAACCAAACCTTCATCGTTGCTTCCAATGCCAGAGAGATGGTCATGGCTGGAAAAGCTGTCGCGGTCGCTAGACTTGTGTACAATGTGGAGTCCTAGGCCATGTGTCTGAAAAGTGCAAACAACCGCCATACTGTGTAAATTGTGAAGGAAACCATGCCGCATATTCACGCTCGTGCACTTAATGGAAAAAAGAAAGAGGTAACACTAAAGGTGAAAGAAAGCTTTTCTTTTAAGGAAGCAAGGAAAAGGGTCTTGCCATTCTGTGGCCCAACACATGCTGATACGGTGCGTCAAGGGGCACTGCCTCACCAGCCCTCGCCATTCCTTCGGCCCGCGCATACCGAGCCAGCGGTTGCGGCACCTGCCTCAAGGTGGCTGTAGTCCAGACTACACCGCCTACTCCTGAACAGAGACCAGAGCTTCCAGGGTCCTCAGGTCTCAAGGCCTCACCTCACCAGGAGAGCCTCAAAATTCGAAATACAAGCTCGCAAGTGCGGGCATCCAGTGCCTCTGAGGAGACAACGGATACATCGGTACCCTTGGTGCCAAAAGAACGGCGTGGTTCCTTGGAGCGCGCCAAGAAAACAAAAAAGCAGATAACAGAGCCTGGTGACAGCCCTGTTACATGAAGTAACTCCCTGCCTAAACAGCCACTTGCTTTTCTTACACACACCACTATTTAACATTCATCATGAACCCTAGTATTATACAATGGAACGTCAGGGGCCTTCTCAGAAACCTTGACGACATCCAAGAACTTTTACACAAACACTCACCAAAAGTGCTCTGTGTACAAGAATTTACCTCTAAATTCAAAACACCAACTTCCTCCGAAAGTACGGTATTTTCTGAACGGACCATAATGAAGCCATGACATCAAGCAGAGGTGTTGCCTTATCGTGAATTAAGGGACTGCATGCACACACAACTCCAAATTTCCCTTAAGGTAGTGGCTGTTCGAGCTGTTCTTTTTGAAAAACTGATCACAATTTGCACTTTTACATTCGTTAGAGCAATCAGCTGCAATAACATGACACACAATCTTGCATGGATGAACTTCTAGAGCCTTATGTTCTCCTTGGAGACTTGAATGCACATTGCAGGCTATGGGGTGACTCTCGTTGCGACGCGCGAGGTCGACTGATTGAACAGTTCCTTCTCTCGTTGAGCGCGTGTCTTCTGGAATAAAAAAGAACCAACCTATTATAATCTCGCTAATAATACCTACTCCTTCATAGACCTAAGAATAGTATCTCTCTCTCTTGTGCCTCTACTCCAGTAGAAAGTCATCAGTTATTCGTACGGAAGTGACCACTTCCATGTAGTTTTAGAACAACTACAGCAACTGAGTGTCCGGCACGGGTTCCCAAATGGCTTTTAAACAGAGCTGACTCGGAGCAGTTTTATACCATTGCATGTTTAGGTTGGAGTGACATATGTACTTTGACCATATATGCTGCTGCCAACTACTTCACAGCATTTTTGATTGATGCTGTAACAAAGTACATTCCACAAACAAATGAACACCCTGGAAAATGGCGTGTGCCATGGTGGAACTCTGAGTGCCGAAATGCACGCAAGCAGCAAAACAGAGCACGGAGGTTCCTTTGGAACTCACCGACAGCCGAAAATTTTGACATCTTTAAGAAAATTATGTCTCAGGCCAGGAGAACGCGTTGCACTCTGCCAACTTTCTCTTCTGGCAGGCCAGAAGAGAAAGTTGGCAGAAGTTTTTTGTCAAGGATCAATTCATATACAAAGGGGGGGAAAGTCTAGAACATGGTTGGTAGGGTAGCAGTCCTACTCCCACTTGTAAACACACACTCCCACTTGTAAACACACAGGATGACACCTTGGAAAATAAGGCGAACTTCCTCGGTGCACACGTCGAGCAGGTGTCCAGCTCCTCGCACTATACTGACGCTTTCCAAAAATACAGAACAAAAATAGAAACGCAAAAACTCGAACACAAATGTACAACATACGAGGCGTACATCCAAGCTTTCGCTTAGCTGAGCTCCAAACATCACTGAACTCCTGCAGTAATTTGGCTCCAGGTTCTGACCATGCGGTTTACGAAATGTTAAAAACCTACCAATAAAAACGCAGAAAACCTTCCTTTTTTTGTACAATGCTATCTGGTTCTCTGGCGCTTTCCCTACTTTCTGGAAAGAGGCGATTGTTATTCCCATTTTGAAACAGGGCAAGAACCCTTCTTCAGTTTTGAGTTATAGGCCTGTTGCGCTTACAAGCTGCCTATGCAAACTTCTCGCAAAAATGATCAACTGCTCACTTGTACATTTTCTTGAAACGAGCAATTTGCTCGACCCATTCAAGTGCGGCTTTTGAGAGGGTAGATCCCACCACCGACCACCTTGTTCGTATCGAGGCTCAGATAAGAAACGCTTCCGTTCATAAGCAATACTTTCTGGCTGTGTTCCTCGATATCGGAAATGCATATGATACAACATGGCGCTTTCGAATACTAAGAGACCTGTTCCACCTTGGTGTGCGTGCCAGAATGCTTAGTATAATCGAAAGTTACTTGTAAAACTGGACATTGCGCGTTCCAGTGGGCGGCATTCTTTCTAAAACCTTTGCTCTAGAAACAGGCTTGCCGCCAGGTGATGTCCTTAGTTCGCACACTTTTTATTATCAAATTGAATTCATTGCGCTAGTCCATTCCTCCCAATATGCTTTATTGTACATATGTGTATGCCGTCCAGCTTGTATTTAAATCTTGTAATCTGACCATGTGTGAGCGCCAGGTTCAGCTTGGTTTGAACAAAGTCTCCAGTTGGGCTGAAGAAAACGAGTTCCGACTGAATGCACAGAAAAGCACGTGTGTCTTGTTCTCCAGGAAGAGAGGCATTCATTCCGAACCCCATATTCAACTGCATGGGCAACGTCTTTCTGTTAATACTGAACACAAATGCCTAGGCCTAATCTTGGACACCAAGTTAACCTTCATACCACAAATCAAATATTTAAAAAAGAAGTACATAAAAGCTATGAACTTTCTAAAATTGTTGTCACGCACTACGTGGGGAAGTGACAAGAAGTGATTAGTGAATTTGTATAAAAGCCTCATACGTACCCGCCTAGATTATGGGGCAATAGCATATCAGTCTGCGACACCTACTGCCCTTAAAATGCTTGACCCTGTTCATCATGTAGGCATCCGTCTCTGTACGGGTGCTTTTCACACTAGCCTCTGGTAAGCTTGTATGTGGAATCGAACGAATGGTCGCTCCACCTACAAATATGTTGCATGCCTTTTAAATATTATCTTAATGTAAATGCAGACAAGGATCACCTATCACATTTCACAATAAATGACATGACAGGCCTTGCTGTGTTTGAGAAACGGCCTTCTATGAG